GTGCAACAACAACAACAAAACAAAAAAAATGTACCAATGTGCTTAAAAATAAACACAATTTTGAAACCACACAGAAAAAAAAAAGACAAAAAAAAATCCAAAGGGAAAAAAATAGCAATGCCATTTAGGAAGCCTAGAAAATAATGCTTAAAGGCAACTTTTAAAAAATTTACAAAAAGAAAAACTTGCCAATAAACATTTTGGAAATAAATGCACATAACTTAAAAAAAAAAACTGTAAGAATTTTGTTTTGTATCTTTATAAACAATATTTCTATTTTTATTTTTATTTTTTTTTATTTTTTGTGAATGTACACACATACATAATTCTATTATCCTTTTACAATTCAATAACAACTTTTCAGTGCTGGTAATGTCAGATGTGCACAACTACCTGAAGCCCAAGTAAACATGAACAAAGTTTGCCTAAAGCACAATCAGGTTAAAATGCTCTTTTTGTTTTCAGTTTGAGTCTGGGTGGTCTCATCTTCAACACAGCAGACCACTAAGCTCTGTGGGCTGAAAGTTCTCTGCAGATGCATCCAAGTGAGACAATCTAATATAACATTAGACATGTTTTTATTAGTGTCTTGACAAAAATCATTATTTCTTTTCATCAAACACAAAGCTAGAATTTTACGAACCAAGTTTTATCAAATCTGAACATTTTCTGTTGACAAACTGATTAATTTTTATTTATGTGATACTATTTGGAGAACAGGTCATTACAGAGTCCACAGTTAAAAGTAAACTGGTTTAGGATGAGCAAATGAATCTCCCCCAAAAATTGGATGGATGGTTTGTGTATGTATGGAGGCATTTGTGGACCATTTTTGACCCACTTCTGCTGTGCTGCTGAGTCAGAGTCAGCAGTGCATGATGGGAAAACTGGTTTGAAGGAAGAGTCACAGACAAAAGCACAAACAAACAAAGAAACGAAGCGCACATTGAAGGCAACCAAGAGGCTGTGTTCCGCTTCAGTGCACCACATCTGTTCATTGCTAAATATATCCAAAGGAACTTGGGCCTTCCAGTGTCTCCTCTCTACTGTAAAGATGAACAGACCAAACAAGACGGCAGGACAAAGAAAAGGAAAAGTTGGTGCAGTTTTAAAGAATGGAAGAAACCCTGCAAGCTTGAGGGCTGAAAAAAAAGTTGAACCATGTGAGTGTCATCCCAGATTAAAAAAAATGAAGAAGAAATTAACAAAAGAAAAGAAACCAGACTAAACTTAGACAAATATTCTCAGCAAGTTCAGGAACTCAACATGCTCCAAATGGTTGGATTTCTATTTTTACCCACACTAAAAAAAGAAGGAAAAGCTTTCTTTGTGCCATGTATCCAAAAGTTAAAAAAAATAAAAATAAAAATAAAAAATGCAAACAAAACACCTATTTTTAACATGTGCATTGTATTGTTTTTCCTCCCATGGGCAATGCATGCAGAGACACTGAAGCTCTGAGTGAGCTGAATCCTTCCTGTAGCGGGAAAAAATGCATCACGCTACAGTCAGTGTGAGAGCATCCCAGCAGGTTGACTGCTTCTTTTAAAAGTCACTGCCTGGCTGGCTGGCACTCAAAAAGGGCCCCTTTCACTAAAGTACGCTCTTTCACAGGATCCAACCACCACGGGCTATGAAAAGGAGAAGAGATACACACACACACACACACACACACACACACACACACACACAC